TCCCCTGCCTGCCACAGCACCCCGTGCCTAGCTTGGGAAAGCGAGGGCCGTCACCTGGGCTTGGCACTTACTCCTTTCTGGGCTGGGGCGTTCGCAGGAGTCCCCCCTTCTTTGGGCTCCATCCTTGGGGGAGAAGCAGCTCGCTGGGTCGGGGCACCTGTGTCCTCGCCCAGCTGTGGGTGGCCTGTGTGACTTTGCCCCCCGCGGCCTCTGGACCCTGCTAGGTGCACTTTTTCCTTGCACGTGTTGATAAGATAAGCTTGGGGTGATTTTGGTCTGCCTCTGCCTAGCCCCTAGCCAGATGCACCCCAAGTGCATGGAGAAGCTGCACTCACTGTGTGTCCCCAGAACTGTGGTTTGGAGCCAGGCAGTTCCTGACTGAACCACTGTGAGGGGCTTCCAGGTTATTTCTCTAAGCACAATGCATCTGCTTCTCACGTACGTGTCACAGCAACCTTAAACATGTTGGGGACATAGGACAGCAGAGAGGGTGCTTGCCTTGCACATAGCTGACCTGGGATCGATTCCCGGCACCATATACGGTTCCTTGAGCCAACCATAATCTCTTAGTACACGTGGGGTCAAAGAAGTCAATAAAATATTGAGCAAAAGTGCTCAGTTCAGGGGCTGGAGCAATCGCACAGCGGGTAGGGCGTTTGCCTTGCACGCGGCCAACCCGGGTTCGATTCCCAGCATCCCATATGGTCCCCTGAGCACCGCCAGGAGTAACTCCTGAGTGCAGAGCTAGGAGCAACCCCTGTGCATCACCAGGTGTGACCCAAAAAGAAAAAAAAAGTGCGCAGTTCAGAATCCTTTGCTAGCACAAAGGAAAAAAAAAAATTGGAAAAGGCTGAATACTTTTTGACAAGTGAGATTGGAACTCTAGGCTGTTGGTTTCAAAGAGCAACGGCGGTGATCAGAGATAGTACAACGGAAAAGGGCACTTGCCTCACACGTGGCCAACCCAAGTTCAATCCCCAGCACCACATACCGGCCCCCGACCCCCATGAGGGGTGACCCCTGAGCATAGAGCCCGGAGTGTAAGCCTTGAGCACTGCCGGTAGTGGCCCAAAATACCAGCCAACCAACCAAATAATGTGGGCCTAGGGGTAGGACAGTGGGCAGGGCGCTGGCCTTGCATGCAGCCCACCCGGGAACAGTGGGCAGGGCGCTGGCACTTACCCCCAGGCTTGATCCCCAGCACCCTGAGTGGTTCCTCAAACACCACCAGGAATGAACCCCAAGCACTGGGTCAGGAGTAAGCCCGGAGCACTGCCTGGTGTGGCCCCCAAGCAAAGAACAATGATGAAAATGACTTCAGGCCACAAAGCACAGGGGAGCTGACCGGTAGCGGCTGCAGAAATGCTGACAGCCCCAGGAATGAACCAACGGCAGCCCAGCCCCCAGCCTGGGCTGCAAGCACTGAAGTACTCTCAGTTTCTCTCTGTTCCCTGCCCGCCCCTTCTTCCGTCTCAGCCTTGGAGCGGAGGGTTGATTGTTGCAAGGCACAGTCCTTCACCCCCACCGGCTCCTGGGCCGGCACCAGCACCTGTCACGGCTGATAGCCTGGGAGGGAATGTTCAGCTCTGTGTTCATCTCAAAATTTAAAAAAATAATAAAAGCATTTTGTACTTCACAATGCTTCAGGGTGTGGCCCTCGGCACCCCCGCTCAGAGCCGCCCACCCTCCGGACAGGTGCCAGCTTCCTCCCTCCCTGCCTCCCCGCTCTACCCCCCCAGCTCCGCCCATACTGAGGCTGCTCAGGGCATCTGCAGGGCAGAGGACAGGCTGCTCAGGGCATCTGCAGGGCAGAGGACACGTTGTGTCTCACAGGGTGGGGGTTGGGGGGCTCCTGTCTGTTCTCCTGACCCCCTCTCTTTTTTTCTTTTCCTTTTGGGTCACACCTGGCGCTGCATTCAGGAATCACTCCTGGTGGTGCTCGGGGGACCCTATGGGATGCTGGGAATCGAACCCGGGTCGACCACGTGCTAGGCAAACGCCCTACCCGCTGTGCTATCACTCCAGCCCCTCCTGTCCTTCTCTTCCGGTCAGGAGACCCTGCACTTTTCATGCCTGATGGTTCTCCACCACCTCAAATCTAGTGACACCATCTCCCGGGATGGCTTTACCTGCCTTGTCTCAGCGCTGGTAAACTCACACCCCTGCTTCTACAATAGTTGGTTGCAGGCACCTTCAGTGAAGGGGGGAGAAGGCAGAGTCGGCAGCCCGGGGAAGGGAGTCTGCTTCCCTCTCCACCTGCCTCCGTCACCTGGAAGTGGCTGGGGAACCCAGGACTGATGAGGGTGTGCAAGGGAGCCCCTGCCCGGCTCAGCCCTTATGTCCCACCAGCCCTGCAAGCGAGCCGTCAAGCTGCACGGGGCACCCACTTGTCCTGCGCGGCATGGGAAATGATCCCTGCCGAAGAAACCCGGTTTCTTCGGGAGCCGAGGACCCAGGCTGGGGCAAGGAATTGCTCTTTGCAGGAAAGGAAAGCCAGTCCTAAATCTTTTCCAGTTCGTTGCTTTTCAGACAAGAATTTCAGGAGGAGGCGACTAGTGAAGTGAAACCAATTTAATTAGAGATGATGTGGAAGAGAGGAGAGTGATGCGTTTGAGAGAGCGTGGACTTCTCCAGAGGCAAACAGATCTGATGCAGACGGGGACCGCCAGGCAGGGAGACCCTTGCCTTTGCAGAGTTGATTTTATAGGGCTTCCCCCAAGCTGTCCCGTGGGGGCTTTCTCCCTAGATGAGTCTGTTGCTATGGCGTTGTCAAGGAGAAGTGCTTGGGACTTTGCTGGCTTACCTCCATGGCCTTGCTACCACTCTTGTTTTTGTTTTTTTTTTGGGTCACACCCGGCGATGCTCAGGGGTTCCTCCTGGCTCATGCACTCAGGAATTGCTCCTGGCGGTGCTCAGGGGACCATATGCGGTGCTGGGAATCGAACCTGTGTTGGCCATGTTGGCTGCGTGCAAGACAAACGCCCTACCCGCTGTGCTATCGCTCCAGGCCCTTGCTACCACTCTTGATTCCCGTGGGAACTTCTCTTGGTGCTTCACTGTTCTCTGGGCCTGTGCTGAGTCGGCAAGAATCTACTCAGGCCCCAGTTCTTGTGTCCAAAAAAGTCGGTCCAGCCATCATGCTGTTAGCCACTTCGGGGCTAGTGACAGAGTCACTTCAAACCCATCTTGGTTTAATTACTTCCCAAGAACTCAAGGCCGGGCACCCCCACCTGCCTGCCTGCTTCATGGACGTGCTGGTCCCCATGTGGATAAGCCTGATCTGGGCTCCGGGGCTTATGGCCAACCTCCTAGACCCTTTCTGCTGCTCTCACAAGCTCCTAAGACTCAACAGATCAGACGCCACAGTGTGCTTCTCTGGTCCATGGGTGTCAAATGGGCAGGGACCACTAGGGGCCAATGAGTGGTCCCCAATCCTCCCACATCTCTCTGGACCAGACCCCCCCCCCCACCATATACCCAGGCCTCACACCACTGCTCTGCCTTCTGCACTGGCGTTCCCAGTGTAGAAGGACCCGCTGCCCCTGCCCACACCCACTGCCCAGTGCCCCCAGGAGGAGGATCTTGGGGACTCGCCAAACTTCCGAGGTGCCGGCTCCCAAAGGCCAGGCCTATATCGCTGGACACTCGTGCCCTCACTTCCTGCCAGCCCCTCTGCTGCTCCCTCACCCTGTGTCCCTCCTGTCCAGCCGCATGTCCGATGAGTCTCTCGGGGCCTCTGCCAAGTGGACCAGGGCTTCCTCGCTCATGCAGCTGTGCGTACCTGGGTCCTTCCCAGCCCCCTCTGCTGGCGACAGGGACATGCCGTATGCAACCGAGTGGCCACTCACCTTCTTCTTGTCCGCCTGTGGGTTTCTGTGTCCCTGAGATCCGTGTTGGGCCCCAAACATATGGAACCAGTGGGGGGTCCTGAGCCCGTGGGGGGCCCCGGGGACAGGCCTGGCCAGACTCTTCCTTCTCCTGGCCACGGCCACCAAATCTTTGTGACGGGCTCCACCAGGACATGAGACTGGCCTGAGCCTCGGCACCCGCATGGCTGGGGGCCCCAGGGGGAGGGTGGCCCTTGGGCAGGATCATGGCAAGGTGCCCCAGCCCGACCTCTGGCTTCCAGTGCTGCCTGTTTCCCTTGCAAGTGGCCAGTCCTCGTGCCGCCCCTGAAAGATGGTGCGTGGGGGGGAGGCCTCCCCCAGTATCCTCCCATCTTCATCAGGGCCCTCGATGCCCGGCCACTGCTAGTCCCACTGCCCTTTCAGGCCCCCCAGCCCCCCAGCTCACCTTCACCCCTTCCTGCAGGGCCCCCCACACCCTTGTCCTGTGCCCCAGCATCCCTCCAGGCACCATCTGCCTCGTTCCCCAAGAAAAGATACCAGCACTGCTGCATGTGGGGGCGTCCCGTGCTTCCCTCTGTGCCCCTGTCAGCCCCTCGGGGCAGCTGCTTCCCCCACCCTAAATGCAACAGGGCTAGCTCAGTTCCACTATAGCGCACACACGCCCCTTCCTCTGCCGGGCGGGCTCTGGGGGCTCCTAGGGACCATGCCCCTTGCCCTCCAGGGCCTGGCACTTTGGCATGGGCTGGGAGGCCGGGGGTGGAGTGGGACACTGTAGCCCAGAAAGTGGCCCAGCGTGGTATGGGGAGATGCTTTATTGGGTGCCCCGGGCAGAGCCATCACCATCCCTGGCCAGACACCCTGTCCAGACCACCAGCATCTCCCTGAGCGCCTGTTGCTGCCCCAGCTTTCTGGACCCCCATTTCTGAGGCCTCACACCTCCCCGGGGAGGGTTTCCGGAGCCAGGTCACTCCGCAGGTGGCTTTTCCCCGGAGGTCCCAGGACACAGGCCCCTTTGATTCCTTAACCTTTAACCTTTGATTCCTTCACCCTTCATCCCTCCCCACTGTGACACCAAGTCGGCGAACTGTCCTTGCGGGGGTCCTTCTGCCCCGCGGGCCTGCTCTCGTTCCGGGGAGTCACAGGCTCCCCTCACAGGAAACCCTGTGGTCCCCTCAGCTAGCGGCCACAGGAGCGGGAGGCAGGTCCCTGAGCTCCCCCTTGCCCTGGACATCATCGGCCGATGGCGTCTTCTTGGCGAACATCTGGCTGATCTCCACGAACGTCTTGCCCTTGGTCTCGGGGAGGACCAGGAGGATGTAGACAGCGGTGAGGAAGCACACAGAGGCGAAGATGATGAAGCTGTAAGCACCCAGGGAGCGCTGCAGGCGGGCAAGGGGGGGCCACGGTCAGCTCCTGGACAGCCACTGGGCCCAGCCTCCCGCCCAGCACCCTGGGAAGGCTGAGGTCTGGCTGAGCTTACCTGGATGAAGGGGAAGACCAGCCCCACCGTGAAGTTGGACAGCCAGTGGACCGTGCCCCCCACCATGAAGGCGGACGCCCGGGAGGACTGCAGGAAGGCCTCAGTGATGATCAGTGGAGGGATGGGACCTGCAGGGGGGAAGGGGCTGTGGTGGGGAGAGCACCCACCCCAGCAGGCCCCGAGCCCTGGCACCCGCAGCAGGGTCGTCCCCAGCTCTGCACATATCTCGCAGCGGGAGGCTGGAGTGGGGTGGGGGAGCACAGGCCTGCACCAAGGATAAAGCATGTGCCCCCCCCCCCCGGCACACACGGTGAGACGCCCCCAGGTCCCAGAAGCTCTCAGGGGAGCTCAAGGTGGACGGCGAGAGGAGGGAGCCCGCCCAGCCCAGAACCTGCTTCCAGGACGCACTGGGTCCAAGGGCGTGGCCCACGACGTAGGAGAAGATGCAGGTGATGCTGAGGTAGCTCATCCAGGAGACGGTGTCCTGCGGGGCCAGGCGGGTGACAATCCAGACGGCTGACCCAGCCAGGGGCAGGGGGCAGGGGGTAGGGCTGGGGGCAGGGGCATGCCTGGGGGCAGGGGCAGGGCCAGAGGCAGGGCCGGGGGCAGGGCCAGGGCCAGGGGCCCGGGGCCTTGCGTGGTCACTCACCTGCAGGACCAGGCCTGCCGTGAGCACGCAGCAGGCCCCGCCACAGAGCAGGAAGCCAAGTAGCAGCAGGACACGACGCCCCAGCAGCTCCACCACGAACACCTGGGGGCGGGGGAAGGGAGGCCTCAGAGCTGGAGCCCCTGCACTCCACCCCTCCCTGGAGCAGCCGGGCCATGCCCCCACCCAGCTCTGCAGGGCCGCCCCCAACATGCCCTTGAATGGCCAGTGGGCCACCTCACTGCCCGCTGCAGAAGGTCTCAGAGGCCAGAGGTGAGGGAAGTGAAGTTTCTGGAGTGGGGAAGGGACGTCCTGGCCCTCCCCACGACAGCCCAGGCAAGGGGTCAGCACCGGGCAAGAGGTCAGGGCGCAGCCCCCCCATTCCATGGCCACCCTCCCCAGCCTCTGACAAGATGCCCCACACAGGCTGGACACGTGGCGCGTCCGCCATGCACGCAGGAGGCCGTGGACACTCACAGAGACCAGCGTGGCCACCACGTTGATGGCGCCAGTGCCCACCGTCACGTACTGGACCTGGCTTGGCTCTATGCCCGTGTTGGTGTAGATCTCGTTGGCGTAGTAGTAGATCTGGAAGGCAAGTCCTGGGGCTGGTTCCACTGCACCTGGCCATGGCCCCGCCCCACCCCTGGTACCTGGCCCCGCCCCACCAAGGCCCCGCCTCTGGCCACGCCCAGCCCCGGCCACGCCCCTGGCCCGGCCCTGGCCCCGCCCAGCATCCCGGCCCCACCCACGCCCCCCAGCCCCGCCCCGCCCCAGCACTAGACTGGCCCCACCCCTGGCCCTGCCCAGCCCCGCCCATCCTGCCCTGGCCCCGCCCAGCCCCTTGCCCCTCCCCCTCCCCGCCCAGCCACGCCCCAACACTAGACTGGCCCCACCCCTGGCCCTGCCCATCCCCGCCCATCCTGCCCTGGCCCCGCCCAGCCCCTTGCCCCTCCCCCTCCCCACCCAGCCACGCCCGGGCTGGCCCCACCCCCGGCCCTGCCCAGCCCCGCCCATCCCTGTCCCTGGCCCCGCCCATCCCGCCCTGGCCCACCCCAACCCGGCCCTGGCCCCGCCCAGCCCCACCCAGGCCTGCTCCTGTCCCCTGGCCCCACCCAGTGCTCCCCTACCCCAGGCCCCGGCCCCGCCCCTACCGCGTTCACTCCGGACAGCTGCTGGCCGCCCATGAGGCAGATGGTCGAGACCAGCTGCCAGCGCAGGGAGCGCGTGAGGAAGAGCTTCCACACCGACACGGTGCCCGCCGCCTTCTGGGCCTCGTCCTCCTGCCGGATCTCCTCCAACTCATCCTCCACGTGCTCCCAGCCCCGGAGCCTCTGCAGAGCTGAGGTGGGAGCACGGGGAGGATGTCAGGGGTGCAGAGCACTGAGCAGCCCCGCGGTGGGCGCAAGGGAAAGGCGGACACACCTTTCCTGGCTGCGCTCGTGTCTTTCTTCTGAATCAGCAGGTACCTGGGGCTCTCGGGGAGGAAGGGCAGCACGAGCACCTGCACTGCCGCTGGGATGGCTGTGAGCCCCAGGAGGGTGGTCCAGCCTGCAAGGAAGCCAGCACCACACCCACAGGTCACGCCCACCAGGCTCACTCCACAGGCCACCCCAGAAGCTCACATCCACCCAGTTTACACCTGCCCAATTCACACCGAGCATTCACACCCACCAGCTCACATTCACCAGCTCACACCTGCCAGTCACACCCAGCGTTCACATCCACCGGTTCACACCCAGCAACTCACCCCACGTGTCACACCCAGAAGCTCACACCCACCAGCTCACACCCACCCAGTTCACACCCGGTTCAGACCCACCAATTCACACCCAGCATTCACACCCACCAGCTCCTACTCGCCAGATCACACCCACCCGGGCCACACCCACTAGCTCATACCCACCAGGTCACGCACGCAACCAGTTCACACCCAGCGTTCACACCCAGCAGCTCATACTTGCCCAGCTCACACCCAGGATTCACACCCACCCAGTTCAAACCCCCCAGATCACACCCACCCAGCTGCCACAGGCCAGAGGGTCTCCCTGCTCCAGCACCGACTAGTTCCCAACATTCTTCCTGCCACAGAGAAGTCTTCCTGCTGCCAAATCCAGATACCCGGTGTGGGCTGACCCTGACCTCTCTGCTGCCCTCCTACCAGCCCTGGGCCCTCCCATGCACCCTCCACCCTGCTCTTTCTCATTATTTTTGGATTTTATGCCCGCCCACTGTGCTCAGGGCTCCTAATGCTGTGCTCAGAGATCACTCTCGCTGATGCTAAGGGGCCATGTGGGATGCTGGGGATTGAACCCAGGGTTGGCCGTGTGAAGGGAAGCGCCCTCCCCGATCGGCTCGGAGTCTCGCCCTTCTGCTGCTTTGTGTTAGTGTGATTCGTTTTGGAAGCTCAGGAACAAAGGTTGGGAGCCCCGCAGAGCCCCTGGCCTTCCCGAGCTAATGAGTTCCAGCTCTGGGGGAGAGACAGGCGTAGGTGACTGGCACAGAGGGGCAACCCCAGAGCCCAGCCATGCCCCAGCCTCGCCCGCCAGCTGAGGGAGGCCAGGCCAGCGCCTGCATCCGTCACCAGCACCAGCTGCTCAGAGCCCGCCCTGGCACCCATGGTACCCATGGGGCGGGGCTGCTGTGACCACCGGCCCTTTGCTTACCTTGGTCATTGCCCAGGATGAAGGTGATGCCAAGGATCTGGGCGATGAGTATGCCGATGGTGATGAAGAGCTGGGGCATCACGCCCAGTGCCCCCCGCAGATTCCTGGGCGCCAGCTCCCCCAGGTACATGGGGACGACATTGGAGGAGATCCCTGGGGTGGGGGGTGGGAGGAAGAACCGTCAGGAGGAAGGGAGCCTAGCGGGGCCGAGCCGCCCTGACCTTCGCTCCTAGGGTCAGAGCAGGCCTCGTGCCTGTCTCCGCTTCCCGCACCAGCAGGGAAGAGACAGCAGCCTGGCCATGACGTGGTGGCCACGTGTCCACCCGAGTGCTATGCAAGGGCCACCTTGCCCTTACGTCCTTCCTCCTGGCACCCATCCTGCTCCTTGGGCCATTAACAGAAGAACAGGGGCCTCTGCCGCCGGTCAGAGATGCCAGTGCACGCAACAAGCAAGGCTGGGCCCGGTCAGCAGCACCTGCTTGTTCGTCAGTAAACTCGAGACTATCTGAAACCTCCAACAGGTGAGTCACTGCATCAAGGCTGATGGGGACCCAGCCAGGGTCTCACACGGGCCCTCGGAGCCGCAGCTGGCCCTGGGCTACTTCTTCTGGGTGCCCCGATCTGATCTGGGAGATTATTCTGTGCTGTTTAAATCTGGTTCCTTGGGGCTGGAGCAATAGCACAGCGGGTAGGGCGTTTGCCTTGCACGCGGCCGACCCGGGTTCGATTCCCAGCATCCCAGATGGTCCCCTGAGCACCGCCAGGAGTAATTCCCGAGTGCAGAGCCAGGAGTAACCCCTGTGCATCGCCAGGTGTGACCCAAAAAGCCAATAAATAAATAAATAAATCTGGTTCCTTAAGAAGCGGTGCGATATGGGGCTGGGAGGACAGCAGGGAGGACGGGCCCTTGCCTTGCACATGGCTGACCCGGGTTCAATCCCTGCCCCCCCCCCATTTTCCTGAGCCCCTCCAAGAGTCATCCTGAACAGAAGCAGGTAAGCAATGAGCATAACAGGGTGTGCCCCCCAAAAAAAAGAGGTTAAATAATTTTACAAGCTCCAATATTTTAACCCACATACATTCCCCACTTATTCTCTTCTAAGGCCCCAGGCGGCTGGGGCAGGCCTGGGCGGGGCTATTACTCCTTGTGCTTCCTCCAGCTGCGGTTCATAAAGGTTGTGTGGGTGGGGGGTGGGGATGAGGGGGGAGCTTTATCTCCCGGGGAGGAGAAGCGCGTGTCTGGGGTGATGGACTCAGGATTTCTCAGCGTTTCTCCACTGCGGCCCCTTCCGACACACTTCCTCCCAAGGTGTCCTACCAGTCTACTTAGACTTCTGCCATGACCCTTCACGGACATGGTTTTCATCTCTGCCCCCCCCCTACAATATCCTGGAGGGGGGGGGGGCGCAGGTCCCCTGCTGAGAAACGCAGGGAGCAGACCGCGGGAGATAGTGACCAGACGGAGGCCGTTCAGCAACTTCGAGGACTGGTTGGCCGGCATTTCAGACACAGTCATTCACGGTGGCCATCCTGGGGGCGGGGGCAGAGGACAGCAGAGAGGCCGCCCGTCTTGTTCTTGGCCCACTGGGGTTCGATCCCTGGCACCACATATGGTCAGGAGTGAGCCCAGAGCAGCACTGGTGTGGCTGAAAAAAAAATATAAAACAAACACCCCCCCTTGCCCAGTGCCTAGGGGGCCATGCGGCCACTCCTGGACTCCTTTGTAACAGCCGCGTCGTGGTGGTCTGGGTCAGCGCACCTGGCCTGCCTGCGTGGGGCTCGTTTTCTGTCCCGGCACCAAAAACCAAACCATCTCCAGAGAGTTTCAGAGCCAGAGTTCTAAGGGGGCCCAGGGCCAAGAGGCTATGAGGAGCCTCGTGGCCAGCAGGCCTGGTCACCTCATGACATCTGGTCAGTTGGTGAGCTGAGAAGGGGGCTGTGAAGAGGGCCAGGCTTCTAGTGAAAAGCCATCCCTGGGGCCAGAGCGACAGGACAGCGGGGAGGGCGTTTGCCTTGCATGCGGCTGACCCAGGTTCGATTCCCAGCATCCCATAGGGTCCCCTGAGCACTGCCAAGAGTGACCCCTGAGCACTGCTAGGTGTGACCCCAAATTCCAGCCCCCCCCAAAAAAAGCCAAGCCTTCCTGGACTCAGAAGTGCCCTCCCTAACCACCAGAGAAACAGATCAGCGGGGACAGTGTTAGCGGGCACATCGCTGACCCAGGTTGAGCCCCAGCACCCCAGAGAGCCCGCTGAGACCCAGCAGGAGGGCTCCCTGAGCACAGAGGCAGGAGTAAACCCTGAGAACGGCCGAGTGTGGCCGAAAAACAAAACAAAACAGAAAAACAAACAAAAACGGTGCTCTCCCCCAGGCCCTGCCCTTTCAGGAGCCTTGCCCAGCAGAGCAAGCCCATCTGCACACGTCGGGGTCTCTAGCTCGGCCTTGCAGGGGTAGGGGGGTCTGCGGTCGCAGGAGAGACTGAGGGCAGAGGAGCCGCACGGCCTGAACTGCCCCTGAGACGCCCCCTCTACGGGCTCAGACCCCTCCCCCCTGCGTCCCATGACCTCAGGAAGGGCCACAGCCTGCCCCGTTACCTGCGCAGATCCCCACGAAGATTCTGCCCACGATGATCATTTCATAGGAGCGTGCAAGCCTGCTCAGGCCCATGCAGAAGGCCGGCCCGATGGAGAAGACGTTGTTCAACAGTAAGGTCCCTTTCCTGCACGGGAGCCAGCGTCAGGGCGGACAGGGCCGCGCGCAGCCCCTCTGGAATGCAGCCGATCTTTGCTGCTGGACGTCAGAGTCCCCGGGACCCCCAGACTGCTGCCAACACCCTGCTGCCAACCTATCTTGGAAATGACCCAGAGTGTGGCACGGAAAAAGGGTTTTGAGAAAATTCGCTCGCCAAGAGGTTTTGTGGTGGGGCTGGAGCGATAGCACAGCGGGTAGGGCGTTTGCCTTGCACGCGGCCGACCCGGGTTCAATTCCCAGCATCCCATATGGTCCCCTGAGCACCGCCAGGGGTAATTCCTGAGCGCAGAGCCAGGAGTGACCCCTGTGCATTGCCGGGTGTGACCCAAAAAGCAAAAAAAAAAAAAAAAAAAGAGGTTTTGTGGTAGCTTTTTTGTTTTGTTTTGGGGTTTGGAGGCCACAACTGGCTACACTCAGGGCTCACCCGTAGAGGGGTCAAGGCTTACTCCCGGCTCTGTGCTCAGCCGCATGGCCTGAACTGCCCGAGACGCCTCTTCCACGGGCTCAGACCACCTGCAGTGCCAGGGATTGGACCCAAGTCAGCTGCACGCAAGGCAAGCACCTACAGAGCCAGGAGCAGCCCCGAGCACGGCTGGGTGTGGCGCAAAACACAAGCAAAAAGAAAAATTAAAACAAGAAACGCGGACCCCACTCACCCGCCGAGGTATGGCGCTCCTGAGAGAATGGGGGCTGACGGGACTCAGCAGCATGGCTGAAACTGCTCACGTGTGGGGCAGAGCCAGCCCACAGGCTGCAGCGGACACGAGGCCCGGCCTCTACCCTTCCCCTCCCCAATAATGACCCTGAGCACTGGGCCAAGAGTAGCCCGAGCACCACCAGGTATGGCCTATGTGCTATGCACCCCCCCCCAAAAAAGCAAAGCACAGAGATAAAGAGGGACCGAGTGTTTTTTTTTTGGGGGGGGGGTTACACCCGGTGATGCTCAGGGGTTAATTACTCCTGGCTCATGCACTCAGGAATTACTCCTGGCGGTGCTCGGGGGACCATATGGGATGCTGGGGATTGAACCCGGGTCGGCCGCATGCAAGGCAAATGCTCTACCTGCTGTGCTATTGCTCCAGCCCCAAGCGTTTGTTTTAAAGAATAGAAGATAAAAGGGGCCAGAGAGCTGAGACGGAGGGCAGGACACTAGCCTCGAAGGTAGCTGACCTGAGTTTGACCCCAGCACCCCATACGGCCCCCCAACCTGGCTAGGTCTGATTCCTGAGCACAGAGCCAGGAGTCAGCCCTGAGCACAGAGCCAGGAGTGAGTCCTGAGCACAGAGCCAGGAGTGAGTCCTGAGCACAGAGCCAGGAGTCAGCCCTGAGCACAGAGCCAGGAGTGAGCCCCGAGCACAGAGCCAGGAGTGAGCCCCGAGCACAGAGCCAGGAGTGAGCCCCGAGCACAGAGCCAGGAGTCAGCCCTGAGCACAGAGCCAGGAGTCAGCCCTGAGCACAGAGCCAGGAGTGAGTCCTGAGCACAGAGCCAGGAGTCATCCCTGAGCACAGAGCCAGGAGTGAGTCCTGAGCACAGAGCCAGGAGTGAGCCCCGAGCACAGAGCCAGGAGTGAGCCCCGAGCACAGAGCCAGGAGTGAGCCCCGAGCACAGAGCCAGGAGTCAGCCCTGAGCACAGAGCCAGGAGTCAGCCCTGAGCACTGCAGAGTGCGGCCTCCCAAAACAAAACAGAACAAAAAGAATAAAAGTACAAAGGAAGAGGCAGGAAGGGGGCGAGTCCTGATCCCATCCCGACTCAAGACCCCGCTCCTGGCTCTAAGGCGCTGGCCAGATGCCCACGCGCTCCCCGGGAGACCTGCAGCTGCCCCTCACCTGCCGAATCTGTTCACCGAAGGGCCGACCAGGAAGGAGCCGAGGAGACCCCCGAGGGGGAACACGGACACTGACAGAGACCAGAGCAGCGTCAGCAGCGACTCGCTCAGGTACTGGCCCGTGCGCCCGTGGTGGGTCTCATTGTAGAAGTTCTTCATGTACTGCGGGACCGGGCGAGAGGGGGCCGGCGGCTGTGGGGGCCACTCCGAGATGCCTGCGACACCCGCGACATTCCCAGGGGCTGGGCCAGCGGGCGGCAGCCAGTGTCCGTGGGGCCTCACCCCAGCCGCCAGGCCCCCCATAGAGAGAGTGGACAGGCAGGGGTGCCTGGCTGCCTGCCCGGGAGGGAGGGCCGTGCCCAGCGGCCATGCCCAAGGCTGAGCAGCAGCGCTGAGCACCCTGGAGGTGGGGGGCCTCCCTGTCTCTTCACTGGAACAGCCACTGTGTGGTGCCCGCTGCTGACCCCCCATCATTTTCTGGTGGCTGGTGCCCCCCAACACGTGACCTACCTTCTCAGGGGAGTTGATGACAGCCACGTTGTAGCCATACTGGAAGGACGAGCCAAAGGTGGCCACCAGTGTAGTGGCCAGGAGCACCCGTGTCAGCCTCTGCGTGCAAGAGAGCAGGGTCACGGGGAGCCCGGCAGGGTTCCTCCTGGGACCCCCAAGGGGGCATCGCAGCCCCTTTCAGGGCGACCCTCTGCCATGGGGGCATGTCCTGTGGGTGACAGCCAACACACTGTCACACCCCATTGGGCCAGGGCCGAGTGACCCCGGGTGGGAGAGCATGGGACAGAAGCGGAGGGTCACCACTCAGGGCCGGAGAGACGCAACAGCGGGGACAGTGCTCGCCCTGCACGTGGCCGACCTGGGCTTGATTCCCAGCACCCCGCAGGGTCCCCTGAGCCCGCCAAGAGTAATCCCTGAGCACTGCCGGCGGTGGCCCCAGAACCAAACAAACAAAATCAGAAATCTCATTGAGATTCCCAAACTGATTTGGTTGATGGTACCTGGGACCACCTATGGTCCCCCAAGCACTGCCAGGAGTGATCCCTGAGCACTGCCGGGAGCACTTCAAACACCAGAGTGGGGGGGGGGGGAGAGAGGATGAGAGAGAGGGAGAAAGGAAGAGACAGAGCGTCCCAGTGATGCTTAGAGGTGGGAGTGCTAGTAGGCGTCCCCCACATTCGTCCTGGCCCCACTCTCTTTGGAGACGCTGTGGGGATTCATTCCTGGCCCCCCACTAGGCTCCCCCAGTGGCTCCAGACTGATGACCCTCCTGTGTGTTGTTGGCAAGGGAGTGAGGGGGAGAGGAAGGGAGGGAGAGGAAGGAGGGAAGGGAAGGGGAGAGGAAGGAGGGAAGGAGACCAGAGGAAGAAGAAACGTTGATGAAACCTCCCATTCATTCACCCGACACACAGTCCTGGGCCGAGAAACCAATTCCCCGGCCCCAGGAGATGGTGCCTGTGCAGTCCCCGCCGTCCCCAGCCTGACCCTCTGCTCTGAAGGCCTGGCCCAGTGGGAGGCAGGGGTGTGGCTCAGAGGCAAAGTGCTCGCCGGGCCATGGCTGACCCAGGCACTGCCCGGCACAGCCCCGAAGCACCGTTGGGGGCGGCCCCCGAATACCTCTTCTGAAGCGTCACATAACAGCACACCCCCACGCTTTGGGAAAAGAAAAAAATTTTGGACATAGATCTGCAATGATTATGCAATGAACTACGATTTCTCACCCCTGTAAATGGGCGAGGACCCGCCCGCCTCATACAATGTAACGCGATGATTAAAAAGTTAAGTCTTGGGGCTGGAGCGATAGCACAGTGGGGAGGGTGTTTGCCCTGCACACGGCCGAACTGGGTTCAATTCCCAGCATCCCATATGGTCCTCCAAGCACTGCCAGGAGTAATTCCTGAGTGCAGTCAGGAGTAACCCCTGAGCATCACTGGGTGTGACCCAAAAAGCAAAAAAAAAAAAAAAAAAAGTTCGTTCATTCCTGTGAAATGCTTAGAAGCCCCCTGGGGGCAGCCAGTGTTCCACCCATGTCTGCAAGGAGATGACCGAGTAATGAGGAACTGGATAGGCCAACTGCAGAGAAACAAGGCCTGAACCATAGCACAGCGGGGAGAGCGTTTGTCTCTGGGTTTGATCACCAGTACCCCTTAGGAGCACCGCCAGGAGTGATTCCCAAGCACGGAGCAAAGAGGAACCCCTGGGCACGGCTGGCTGTGCCCTCCCACAACACCCCCTTCTCCCCCCAAAAAAGACAGACATGAGATGGCTGAGTGATGGCGGAGTCTCGGGGCTCCCTCACCCCAACACTAAGCGGGCTGGGGAGGGAGACTTGGCTTCCCACTGCACTTGGGGGCCATTTTTCCTTCCAATCTTTCCTTTCTTTTCGGGACAAGTCCTCTTCCCTGATGGAGTGTCCTGAAGCACGGGGACATCTTGCTCCGTCAGGGACCGGGACAGAGGAGCAAAGTCGAGGCCAGGACTCTGGGTCCCAGGTCAGCACCCCCGGAACACAGCCCTTCCTCGGCCGCTAGTGGAGCTGGGGCCCGCAGTGGGGGTGCGGCTAGGACCCCATGCCCGCAGGATGCCAAGGAGAGCCGCGGCCGCCCCAGGCAGCTCACACAGCCTCCCAGAGAGCCAGGTGGAGAGGGGCTATGGACACGGGGCCGGAAGTGACCAGCAGGTGGAGTGGGGGGGGGATCCCATTGCTGACTGCAGGAAGCCCAGGGCCCGGAGGAGGACAGCGGCTGTGAGGGGTATGGGACGGGAAGCTTCTGCAGTGTCATCAGTTACTGGCTCCCCCAAGGCCAGGGTCCTGGGCAGTTCTCACTGCAGTCCTTACATCACGGTCGTGGGGGTCCAGGGCACTAGACCAGCTGACCACACGTGGCTAGCCCAGCCACGATCAAAGTTCAAAATCAGAGAATGCTGTCCACCGAACCAGGGCCAGCGAACATTCCAGAATCTGGAGTTAGAGCAGGTGTCTGGGCTTCCCAGAGGCTTCCTGCTTGGGGACTGGGGGCGGATCAGCCCTGGCCCTTGACATAGGGGAGGACGCTGAGGTGGTTCCACCTGCGGCAGTACCAGGAGTCACCGCTAGGTGGTGCAGATCAGACCAGGGATGCCCATGACTCCAAGTTCCTAAATTCTTTTCCTTTTTTTTTTTTTTTTTTTTTTTTTTTTTGCTTTTTGGGTCACACCTGGCGATGCGCAGGGGTTACTCCTGGCTCATGCACTCAGGAATTGCTCCTGGCGGTGCTCAGGGGACCATATGGGGTGCTGGGTATCGAACCTGTGTCGGTCACGTTGGCTGCGTGCAAGGCAAACGCCCTACCCGCTGTGCTATCGCTCCAGCCCCTCTAAATTCTTTTTCTTAGGGCTCCTCTCCTCCCCTCCCCTCTTCTCCTCTCCTCTTCCCTTCTCTCCTCTCCTCCCCCGAATCTGTTAGCAGAGGAGAGGAGGGAAGGAGAGGAGAGGACCCATAAGAGAAAAAGAGAATTTAGGGACTTGGGGCCAGGGGCGGCCCTGGTCTGATCTGCGCCACCTAGCGGTGAACCCCGGTACTGCCGCAGGTGGAACCGCCTCGGTGGCTGTCTCTGCTGTGTCAAAGGCCAGGGCTGACCCACTCCAGGCCCTCTGTCCCCAAGCAGGAAGCCTCTGGGAAGCCAGGACACCTGCTCTGTTCTGCTCCTCCCTCCCCTCCCTTTCCTTCCCCTCCTCTTCCCTCCTCTTCCCGCCTCTCCCTTCGTCCTCTCTCCTCTCCCTGCACCCCACAATGGTGCTGGGGATCAAACCCAAGGCCTCGCTCGTGTCAGGCTAGAGTTCTGCTGCCGAGCTTCGAGCCTAGCCCTGCCTTTACAAGTCTGTAGGACAACATTGGTTTGTACAACATTGGTTTGTCCTTTCTCCCTTGCCACGAGGAGCTTAGGTTTATCAGGTTACACCCATCACAGTGCTCCTGAGTCACTCCCATTCCTTTATCTGTAACCTCTTCTCTAGGCTTTTTTCCCCAACCAGTTAATCAGCTTTTCTCCCTAATTAGCTTCTGTTAATTTGGTTTTTTTTTTTTGCTCTTTGGGTCACACCCGGCGGTGCTCAGGGGTTACTCCTGGCTCATGCACTCAGGAATTACTCCTGGCGGTGCTCAGGGGACCACATGGGATGCTGGGAATTGAACTCGGGTCGGCCATGTTGGCTGCGTGCAAGGCAAACGCCCTACCCACTGTGCTATCGCTCCAGCCCCCAGCTTCTGTTCATTTGTAAGGTCAGATTCTTCTAGGACACTGAACATGTATTGTAAGTTAATATTGCCTTTCTCCTCTCTTTGTCTTTTGAATAGTTTACTTTAAAGCAATGTCCTTTCTGTATACACACAGGAAGACAGTTAACATTATGTTTTTGTAACTTGGGCTGGAGCGATAGCACAGCAGTAGGGTGTTTGCCTTGCATGCAGCCAATGTGGCCAACCCGAGTTCGATTCCTCCGCCCCTCTTGGAGAGCCCGGCAAGCTACCGAAAGTATCTTGCCCGCCTGGCAAAGCCTGGTAAGCTCCCTGTGATGTATTCGATATGCCAAACACAGTAACAAGTGTCACAATGGAGACGTTACTGGGCCCGCTCGAGCAAATCGATGAACAACGGGAGGACCGTGACCATGAACATGGGATTTAATTTGCTTCGAATATTATTCACTCCCAGGCAACTGCTTTCTCGACTTAAGCCTCAGTTGTCCTTAGTTGCTAGCACCCCAAAAGCAGGGTCCCGACAAGGGACTGAATGGACCCAGGGCAAGCTGTGAGCTACCCTGGCATCGAAATGGGCCAGGCCAAAGTGCCACGATACTCAACTATAAGTTGAGAGCAAGGTCATGGACAAATGCCGTCATGATCCAATCGTAACGATGAGGTTAGGACCCTGCCAGGGATAGGAAAGACTAATCTGGCCTGAGCACTGCAGTCTGAGATTGAGATGACCCCAGGAGAAGCAATTCTATAAGCTTAATGCATCTCTTACTGTGTTCATACAAAATGATTAATATTATGAATGTTTGTATGTCTTATTATGACATCTTATTATCTCATTCCTACTTTGGACAAACTGGCAGGCTACTGAATGTAACCCTGCCCACACGGCAGAGTCTGGCAAACTCCCCGTGGTGTACCCAATATGCCAAATACCGGTAACAATGATGGGTCTCATTCTCCTAAAGAGCCGTGAATATAATCTCAGGGCTAGGATGAAGGAGACATTACTGGGGCCTGCGTTACTGGGGCCTGCTCGAGGCAATCGACGAATAACAGGATGATTTGTGTGATTGTTTGTGTGATATGTTTGTTGGACTTGGAGAGGAGAAATACACCCATGGGATTCTGCTCTCGGGGCGGGTCATCCTGCTGAATAAGAATCTGTCCTAGAAGAAGTTTGCCCCGAGGAAAAGAACCTTAACCTTATTGATTGTGACCACACCTATGTGTAAACCCCAAGCCCTCATGTGGGGGGATTTAACTAGACTGTAAGAGTGGGTGGGGAAATCCAGATTATTCCAGAGCCAGAGGGAGAATGAGAGAGGAAGAAGGAGAATGAAGGGGGATTGAGGAGGAGAATGAAGTAGCGTGGGGGAGGAAGAAGCAGGAGGAGAATCAGAGAATGGAGAGGAGATTGGAAGAAACTGAAACTGGGGCTGGAGCCATAGCACAGCGGTAGGGCGTTTGCCTTGCACGCAGCCAACATGGCTGACCCGGGTTCGATTCCCAGCATTCCATATGGTCCCCCGAGCACCGCCAGGAGTCATTCCTGAGTGCATGAGCCAGGAGTAACCCCTGAGCATCACCGGGTGTGACCCAAAAAGTAAAAAAAAAAAAAAAATTGGAATAAACTGCAACTGACACCAACCAGCCTGGCCCTCATTTCCTTCCTTTGACCGCCCCGGGGTGGGGGAAGTGGTGTAAGACTACAGAACTACCGAATGCGGGTGGCGGGAGAGATAGAGAGCACTGTGCCCCCTTTTTGTGTCTATACACAAGTCCTTTATGTGTGTTTGGGGGCCGTCTCCAGTGGTGCTGTGCGTTCAGGGCTCGCTTCCGTGGTACCTGGGGGTGGAACCTGGGCCCTGGCACGCGCGCTCCTGCCCACTGGCCCATGTCTCCAGCCCAGGTCCTTGTCTGACTTTCTGCTGCTTTGTCTTGAGGTCACACTCAGCCGTGCTCGCGGGGACCGTGAGGTCAGAGCCTGAACCCTCGCCAGACTTGACCCGAGTCCAGACATTTCTTTTTTTTTTTTTTTTTTTTTGCTTTTTGGGTCACTCCTGGCGATGCTCAAGGGTTACTCCTGACTCTGCACTCAGGAGTTACTCCTGGCGGTGCTCAGGGGTCCACATGGGATGCTGGGAATCGAACCCGGGTCGGCCGCGTGCAAGGCAAACGCCCTACCCACTGTGCTATCGCTCCAGCCCCGAGTCCAGACATTTCACAGTGAGAATCAAACACGAGCACACGCGGGCGAGCACATCTCTAAGGCAATGACTCTGGGGGGAGGGGCTCTCATGCCCACCACACCACAGCCCCTCCTCCCCCTCAAAAATCATCTTTATTCCTCACAATAGCTTCTTGAAATTTCTTGAAAAGTATTAATGAGTTTATATGATCTCCCCGTCCTTCCACTCTTTCCTCACTCAAGGGACCTCAAAAGCATCATCAAAATTATACGGTGCTGGGGAGGGGGCGGGGAGGACCAGAAAGGCTGTTATTAAACAGAAGGGGGGGTCTCCTTGGGTGAGAGGAAATCCCAGCCTCACAACTCTTCCCAGCCTCTCTGCAGGTGGGCCTAGCTGTGTTACTTCCTGGAAAGTCTCCAACAAATGTTGGACAAAATGTCCTGAAGGTCAGATCAGCTCCCAAATGTGCCCCCAACAATGCGTGAGAGTGGTGGTCCCAGGACCCTCCTACCCTGAGTTAAGGTGAAGGTGGTTGGATCTTTGAGTCTCTTCAATTTTTTTTTTCTTTTTGGGTCACACCCGGCGATGCACAGGGGTTACTCCTGACTCTGCACTCAGGAATCACTCCTGGCGGTGCTCGGGGGACCATACGGGATGCTGCGGATTGAACCCTGGTCGGCAAGGCAATCGCCGGGCTAACAAGTGGCCAGGCAAATGCCCTCCCCGCTGTGCCCAAGTCTTGGGCCCAAGTCTCTTCAATTTGGTGCCAGGTGCAGAAGGGCCCAGTAGGGAGTTTTCCAATTAATCACTAACTCTTAACATCTTTGTTTTGTTTTGGGGACCACACTGCCGGTGCTCAAAGTTTACTCCTGGCTTTGTGTTCAGGGATCACTCCTGGCGGGGCTCAGGAGATCATAGGGGGTGCCGGGATCGGATCCAGACTGGACACATGCCAGGCACACACCTCCCCGCTGTACTACCGCCCTCTAAGTGTTTTAATCTCTTTTTAGTCCTTGTTAAAAGTCCAGCTGCCGGGGGCACCCCTGAGGGAGGGTCTCCTGAAGGAGTTCCCGACAGGGTGCCCCCGAGAGACACTCACCCCTTTCCTCTGTCCGGGGTCCTGCTCTGGGCCCTGCTCGGGAACCAGCTCCTGGCCCTCCATGCCGGACACGCACAGCCCGCGCCTCCCTCCACGGAGCAGAGCAGGGGGAGACCATCCAGCTGCACTTTGATCGCCAAGGAGCAGCCAATCGTGCGTTTATGGCCGCGGGATGCCAGAGAGCCGCTGACCTGTCACTTCTTTGAAACCAAACGCCTGGCGCGGAGCTCAGCGGGGGATCAGCCGCACTGAGGGTCGGCCGCTGCCTCCAGGAGGAAGCTCAGGGAGCAGCCGCAGAGGCTGGTTCCGTACCCCCCACCCACCCACCAGAGCAATCAGCGACAGCTGCTACCCACCCAGCCCCGCCCTCATCTGGAGCCAGGGACGGGGACACCGCAGACTTGCAGAAGGGAAACAAGGGGGCCACGCTCAGACTTAGCTCGCACCCAGACAGCGCGTGACTCCTTCCTGGAGCGGTTCCCAGTGCTCGTTGGGTTTGGTTTGGGGGCTGCATCCGGTGATTCTCTGGGTTTACTCCTGGTTCTGTCTTTTGATTTCGCTCAGTCAGGAAGACTCTCCCTGCGGATGTCGGCTCTGTCTCTCCCTCCACCCCACCTCTCTCTCTCTCTCTCTCTCTCTCTCTCTCTCTCTCTCTCTCTCTCTCTCTCTCTCTCTCTCTCTCTCCCCTTTTGTTTTGTGTTTGTTTTTGTTTGGAGGTCACAGCCAGCAGTGCTCAGGGCTTAGTCCTGGCTCTGCACTCAGGGATCTCTCCTGGCGGGGTGCTCCAGAGATGGGGTGCATCGGATGGAACCCTGGTCAGCCACGTGCAAGGAAAATGCTCCCCCGTGCTATTGCTCCAACCGCTCCTGGTATTCTAGTTTTATTTAGGTTTTTGGGTCATACCTGAAATCTAAAAATGCTCAGGGGTTACTCCTGGCCCCGTGCCCAGGACTTACTCCTGGTTCTGTGCTCAGGGGTTACTCCTGGCTCTGTGCTCAGGGGTTACTCCTGGTTCTGTGCTCAGGGGTTACTCCTGGTTCTGTGCTCAGGGGTTACTCCTGGCTCTGTGCTCAGGGGTTACTCCTGGCTCTGTGCTCAGGGGTTACTCCTGGCTCTGTGCTCAGGGGTTACTCCTGGCTCTGTGCTCAGGAGTTACTCCTGGTTCTGTGCTCAGGGGTTACTCCTGGCTCTGTGCTTAGGGTTTACTCCTGGTTCTGTGCTCAGGGGTTACTCCTGGCTCTGTGCTCAGGGGTTACTCCTGGCTCTGTGCTCAGGGGTTACTCCTGGCTCTGTGCTCAGGGGTTACTCCTGGTTCTGTGCTCAGGGGTTACTCCTGGTTCTGTGCTCAGGGATCGCTCCTGGCTAATGTCCCCATGTTCTTCTCAGGAAACAACCTTCAAGGTTCTTTTCTGGTTCCACTTCGAGGGCAGCAAATCCTCCCAGCCCTCTTATCTGCGAGGAGGGAAAGTGAGTCAGATCTCAAGTGAGGCCACACCATGGGCCTGCTGCTGTGGACACTGGTTACGCGACTGTATCCAGTGCAAAGTCCCGCGAGGCCCCCAGACTTTCATCTCTCCTGGCACATTCCCTGCTCTGCTGCCCTGCCCAGCCCAGCCCAGCCCAGCCCAGCCCGGCCCAGCCGGTCCTTCGCTTCCCCGGCGCCCCTCAGATGACCAGAAGCAGCAGTGAGCTGAGGAATGGGGGTCTGGCTCCCCCAGGCTGACTGGGACAATGATGGTGTAATAGCTTTGGGTTGTATGTTGGAGAGATATGAGGTATTGTGGTGTGTTGTGTGTGTGTGTGTGTGTGTGTGTGTGTGTGTGAGAGAGAGTATGAGGAATCTGCTGTGGTAAATGGGGCTGGTGTGTGATGAAGGGGGGACGTGTGAGGGGATGTGTGGCATAGACGTTGTGCTGTGATATGTGGCATGTGACATGTATGATGATGTGTGTGATAAGTGAGGTGGCATAAAGGGGTTTGGTGACTGACGTGTGATGGGGTGTGTCATGAAGAGTGCGTGCATGTGTGTGATGTGGTTGCTGTGTGGGATAGGGGATGGATGTGGTTTCCAGTATACAGGGAGGTGAGTATGTGTGAATGCAGGGGGACAGGTGATGTATGAGGTGGTGTGTGGTACAAAACCTGTGTGTGGTGAATATGATGTGGTGTGTGATGTGATTTATGGGGGGGTGGTATGTGGGAAATGTGGGGGGACGTGATGGCTGTAGCGGTGTGTGGTGTATGAAGCATGTGATTCATGTGAGTGGTGTGTGGTGAATGTGTGTGTGTGTGTGTGTGTGTGTGTGTCCGCCCTCAGAGGTCCACACACACACACACACACTCTCACCATTTACCGTCTTTTCTTTCTGGGTCGGTCACTTCCTTCTGAGGTCTGGCCAGACCAGTGCCCCAATTATTTCAGGGACTTTGGGAAGAGTTCTCCAAAGAAAATACATGTTAGGGGGCTGGAGCAATAGCACAGCGGGGAGGGCGTTTGCCTTGCATGCAGCCAACCCGGGTTCGATTCCCAGCATCCCATATGCTTTCCTGAGCACCGCCAGGAGTGATTCCTGAGTGCAGAACCAGGAGTAAGCCCTGTGCAACGCCAGGTGTGACCCAAAAAGAAAAAAAAATACATGTTAGGTGGGGGGTGGGGGATAAAATTGTCTGCTGGGGAGTGAGGGAGGGCGGAGGGCGCCTGCCTTGTCTACTGCCGACCCGGGTTCAGTCCCCAGCACCCCGAATCGTGGGCAGAGCCGGGAGTGATCTCTGAATGCAGCTGAGCGTGGCCCAAAAGGGAAAAAACGGGTCCGGACTTGCTCCCGGCGAGCCAGGCCCAGGTGCAAAAGTTTCCAACCCCTAGTGACTGGAGAGAGGGAGGTTGGGGGAAGTTTCTCTGCCCCAGCTGGTCGGGGTCCCAGGAGCTGGAAAGCTGCGGGCAGGGTGGCGGTGCAGCCCACCAGCCCCGGGGGGCTCTGGGGTGCGGGCCCTGCTTACCTCCTGCGCAGGCGCGCAAGGTGCGAGGTCTTGACATCACCAACGCCCGCCGGGCAGGAGGACTGGGGGTGTCTGGCTGTGGGGGGGGAGGGCGCAGGGGCAGGGACCCCACGCAGGCGCAGGCGTGTCTGGGGCGTGAGTGCGGGGCGTCTGCGCTGCACGGGGTGGGCGGGGGGGATTCGGTTCCCTGCGCGCACGTGCGGGGTAGGGGGACCCTCTCAGGGCCTTCTCAGTGGGTTTGGGCAGCACCTGGTGATGACGCTGGGCTTCCTCCTGGCTCCGCACTCAGGAATCACTCCTGGCGGTGCTCGGGGAACCAGGTGGGATGCTGGGGATCGAACCCTGGTCAGCTGCGGCAAGGCAAACACGCTCCCTGCCAGTGGACGGGCTAAGCAAAGGGAAGGGTCCTGGAGTGCCCGCCCCCACCCCTGCAGTGTAGAGCCTTGGCGGGAGGGGTGTTGGGATTTTATCCTGGAGGGAGACCACCCCAGACAGCTTCCCAGGTCCAGTGCTGGGTCCTCTGTGACCCCCCCTGGGCAAAGCCAAGGGTCCTCACCAGAGGTGTCCTTCTGCGACTGGGCAACGAAGGGTTAAAGCGGGCTAAGTGAGGAGAGGCAGGAATACAGGAACCAGGGCCCAGACCAAGCTGCTGTGGAAAGTTGAGGATGGAGCCCACACCTGGGATACGCCTAGGGTGGGGGTCTGAGCCACAGGACAGCCGGGAGGGCACGCGCCTTGCTCACAGCTGACCCGGGTGCAATACTGGGCACCCCCACCTGGTCCCCTGAGCCTTGCCAGGAGTGATTCCCTCAATGTAGGGTCATGAGTTTGCAACCTAGTAAGAAAAGCATGCCAGATCCCAAGGGCAGGAGCATAAACTCCGTGACATCTGGCCACAGATAACAAGGACGTTCCACACGCACATGTGTTTTGAAGTCAAGATCGACCATGTTTTGTAACGGACTTAGAGCATGACGTGCTAACCGCGCACTTTGCTTCTGTGCCTCCGCTGTGCTTAGATAAGATAGGAACGTGGGCACGCGTTCCCCCTACTTTGAAGTGAAAATGAGAGTTGGACCAGTGCTCGGGGTTCCAAGCCCAGGGAGCGGTCCTAGCTTGCGCCCCCTCCGTGCAGAGCCCCTTGCATGTTTTGTTTTGTCTTTTATTAAAAATGTTTTTAATAGTGAGACATCATGAGGTAAAGTTGCAGACTTGCACATTTTTGTGCTTGGGTTTCAATTATCCAATGATCAAACACCCATCCCTCCACCGGTGCCCATTTCCCACCACCACGGATCCCGGTATCCCTCCCACCCCCCCATCCCCCCCCATCCCACCCTGCCTCTGTGGCAGGGCATTCCCCTCTGTTCTCTCTCTCCTTTTGGGTGTTGTGGTTTGCAAGAGAAACATTGGGTGGCAATCATGTTTGGTCTAGAGTCTACTTTCAGCACCCTTGCATGTTTTGGTGTGTGTGAATAAAGCTTGAAAAATCTGTCCTGTCTCTACGCGTCTCAGTCAGCCGCTGACTTCCGGCTTGTGGCACTGAAAAGTATGAAGCATGAGTTCAGCCCGTTTATCTGGCCCTACTTCGATACTTAATTTTTTTAATTAAAAAAATTTGGGGAGTATTGGGAGGTATTGCCACACCTGGTGGCACTCATGGGTTACTCCTGGATTGACACTCAGGACTCACTCCTGGTGGTTCTTAGGGGACCATATAGGTTGTTGGCAGGGATCGAATCTGGGTCGTTGTAAGCAAAGCAAGTGCCTTACCCACTGTGCTCTCTCTCCAACCCCCTACATTGTTACTTTCTTTTTTCCTTTTTTTTTGGGGGGGTCACACCTGGCAATGCAAGGGGTTACTCCTGGCGGTGCTCAGGGGACCATATGGGATGCTGGGAATTGAACCCGGGTCGGCCGCGTGCAAGGCAAACGCCCTACCCGCTGTGCTATCTCTCCAGTCCCTACATTGTTACTTTCAATGATTAAAATCTTCTTCTGTTGAAAATAATCCAGGCACTTGATTCAACTTTACAGATATGAGCAAATCATTTGCCTTTGAGTTT